GAGCTATAACCAAACTATCCAAAATGCGAGTGGGACTGGGCTGTATTGTCATATACAGTGTGACACTGATTGCAAGTAAGCACTATAGTTTTAAATTAGTGAGATCTGGTGTAAAACAGTCATAGTTAGTCTCCGATGCAGACGGTCTTCACTGACACAACGACAGTTTTGTTGCCGGAACGAAATATTGTAAGTAAATCGCCTGTCTTGTCATAACGCTGTACAGAAGTACTGAYGAAACAAATTCCAAAGGATCATCAATTCAAGATAGCGTCGGTGGTATAATGGTCAGCATAGCTGCCTTCCAAGCAGTTGATCCGGGTTCGATTCCCGGCCGACGCAGATATCGTTTTGACCGTTGTGATTTTTACACATTTATGTGTAATACTAAATGACTGTTGCAAATGTTTTGGTAAAATACTATCAGTCTGCGCTCTGCGTTTGAAAGTTTTAGGTTCACGGGATTRAAATGTCTATAACTTCTACTTTCGATATCAGAGTTCAAGTCTTATATCAGAACTAAACTTCCATCGAAATGATGAATACTTCCAGCAGTGGATTAAACAATATACGCCTGGTCCGGGTTGTTCAAAGCCCGATTAACGTTAATCCAGGGCTTAACTCCATAGGTTTTTTTAAGATTTAACCCAGGATTAGCGCTAATCGAGTTTTGAACCCGGCCACGGATACACAGGTAACCCAAATATGGTTATTCAGTTCATTGGTCTTATCTTAATTTTATAATATCCCAGGCGGACTAGAATGGCCATATGGTAAATATGGACTACCAAAGCCTAAAACAGGATGCCCAGAAAACTGGTTAGCAGGAAGACGATTCACTAATGCTGAAGAGCTAAACTCAAACAGTCGAAAATTTAAAGACTGGTTTCATCTATCTGGCTTCGTTAGCAGTCAAGGTAATGGGTCTCTCGTTATGACGTCATATTGATTTGGCGAAGTGCATCATGGTATTGATAAAAACCCATAAAATCCCATAATGCATCTCAAACAAAATCGATATTTTTTATGCTATTACTTCATCCATTTGTCTTTAGTAATCCCTAACTACTTATAAATTAGTGTAAATAAAGTGAAATTGAATTGAATTGAATCGCTACATAAATCGTGTCTTATTTTGAGTCTATATTACGTTTTATTTCGCGGGTTTATTGCCCTCACACACTATATGTCATATATCATCGTTATAATACCATCAGTGAAAGAAGTTTATCCTCTTTATTACATGAAGGTGTTGAGCAAGAGTTTTGTACAAAGACTGGAAATAAAGGTACTGGTACCTGGCCTTCTGGAAAATACTGTATACTTAGAAGTGGGCATTGCCCAAGAGGATTAGTAGAGGGGTGAGTCTTCTCCTATATTGAGCWCATTATAATCTTAATGTTTCAGCTTAGCGTCTCACTCACTTTGGTGAAGAGATCTCTGGTGGAAAGGGCACTCATAGATCCGAGAAAGGAAAAAAATATTAATTTTTAAAGCTTTGCTAACCATTTTATCGACCGYGTCATGCAGAAATGATAAAAAAATAGAAAATGAAAACGAACCTATAGTTTCTCTTTAAAATGAGTCTCCTAAGCAGCAGTTTATTTATCGGGCTTCCTGTTCCTCCCAAAACACAGGAAGCCCTGCAAAAGGAAGATTTTTAAAGGCAGATAATCGACTTWAGTGCAATCAGTGATGATGTTGATGATAGTAAGAATACAAAGAATATTAAAAGAAATCTAGTTTGTAAGAACCYATGAAATCAAACCGACATTAAACCAATTAAAATAAAGCAAAAGCACAGGTCCCACTTCATCCGATCAATGTTTAACCACCTGTTGACACCAGTATTTGCTTGTACTTTCATTGCGCAACTCAATAAAAACATAAAAAGTACTCTTCGATACCAACCAGGCGTCGGTGGTATAATGGTCAGCATAGCTGCCTTCCAAGCAGTTGATCCGGGTTCGATTCCCGGCCGACGCAAGGACATTTTTATTTTTTGCAATAAATAATTTTCCTGAAGTTATTTATTGAAATACATATGATATTATGCTGTAAACCTTAATATTTTAAAAATAAAATTCAGCTTTAAGTCCATCGTGACTTTTAAACAAAGAATCAATTGTCTGACAGACAAGTCGGTGATCCCCGCAAGCGATGACTAGTTTTGAATTTCATTAGGATACGATTCCAATAATAGCTACAAGTTCTACTAAGTTTAATAATTATATTTGGAAAAGCTGAGTTCAAAACAAGAGAAAAAAGCAAGCTCACTCAAGYTGATCGTKCAAAGAAGTACGGCATTGCTGCAGATTTTTAAARCGTTCATCATTACAGCCGGCAAAATTTTGTCACACAACTGAACACAACTGTCACACAAACTAAGCTCACGCAATCGTGTTCTTTTAAATAAAATTGTAGAAAAACAGTTCATTCAATAACTAATGTAKTTTTGTGTTTAGATATATTCACTGGAGAGAGAGAAAGTACACAAATCAAAGAGACAAAAAAGCGCAAATTCCACATGAAATAAAAAAAGTAGAATATTGCTGTAACGCTAACGGTGAGTCACTTAATACAGCCTCTGCTCAGCCCTAAACCTGCCATGTTTGTTTTACCAAGGTGCATCATGTTACAATCGAACCTCTATTATACGGCCGTCTATCTAGCGGCCATCCTCCATTAAGCGGTCATTCATGAATTCCCAAAATTATATTCTGCCGTAAACTATTGACAAAAGTATCAACTTATGCGWTATCGTTATATTTTGTCTCAGCAAAGATTACATCTGTTTTCACTATATATATATAATCTTTTTATATTCTCCCAAGGTGACGCYAAAAGACCAATTACGCTACCYATCAGTAAGCCGTTCTATCTGTACGCTTACGGTAGCAGCGAGTGTCAAATCGTAAAGGGTGCGCAAGTTAAGAAAGAGCTGGTACATTTTGAAGTTGATACCAAAACATTTCACCAAGGAGAAGGAGGGGCACATCCCTTTGAAGGTGGACTGGACACTGGTAGTCATCGACTRATATACTGCTATTATACGCCTGGTGAGTATAACGACGTTGAAAATCGGGAGAGCCTACGTAGCACTCAGTTGATGTAATATATTCATAAAGATATAATACAACACAACAAGAACAATGGAATACAATACATTTTATGAATACATTACATCAACTGCGTGCTACGTAGGTCCCCCCGTTGAAAATCACTGAAGCTAATACGAAAAGAGAGATTGTAGAGATTCAACCACCCACCTGACCCAAAACGAGAGGACAAGGGTCTGGGGACGAGGTTGTAATAATACTATCCCATGCTCCTCTTCGGTCCGATTTAACCTTTTTTGAATCCAGTCTCTTCAAATGACCTCTGAAGCTTTTACGTCATGTATCGTATACGCAATGCATTGTAGGATATGTTAGGGACAAAACATGGCGGATTTATTTTGTTTTCTCTAGAAACTGATCCCACAAAGCGTTGCAAATATATTAGTGACTAAAAACCTTCAGAAGTCTGATTAAGTGTAAATATCCATGTCTGTAAAAACGGAGAAAAAAAGTAAAAAAGTAAAAAACATGTTCAATCGTCTTATTTAGTTAAAACAACAATCGTAAACCACGCCGAACAAGAAGTGGAAAAAGCTATATTTTCAAATGTAAGTACCTCTAACTTAATAAAGAAAAAAAGTAATGTATTGATCGTTTTCAATCATGAGATCCAAAAGACCGGCGGCCATGTTGGTTGAATGAGCAGTAGACACGGAGAAATACTTTGTTGACGTTCAACCAAGATGGCGACTGTGAAGTATATTGCAAACCGGAAGATTTCCCATACTTGTTTCTACAAACCACGACAGAGAGAAAAACATACCGATATAAAGTCTAGAATTTACCACTAAATCATGCACTTTTAACCGTTTATTAAAGCAAGCTTATGAACCATAGTTTAGCTTGTCTTATATCTATATATACATATTTTATTTTTAATAATTATTTGTTCTTGAGTTTTTTTTGTACTGTGTCTTATCATATACATATTTTTATCTTTAATATTTGTTTTTCATCATGAGTTTTTGGACTGTGAAGCATTATAGAATTTTACTATATAACGCTATATAAATTGAATAAATTATTATTATTATTATTATTATTATTATTATTATTATTATTAGTAGTAGTAGTAGTAGTAGTAGTAGTAGTAGTAGTAGTAGCCAATTGTAAATTACCTATCAAGTAGAGAGATTTACAATTGTAGATGTAACAAAACAAGAAAAATAAAGTTTTCATTATAATGTCAATTCAAGTAGCCAGTTGTAAATTACCTTTTATAGTGAGATTTACAATTGTAAGTGAAAAAAGTAATAAAGTTTTCATTATTATTAACCGTTTAATCTCTACAACACAATATATTGACTGTAAGACACTTGTTTTTCAGGGGCAATTAGATAATAAGTCTCAGACGTCTGCCATGGCATTAGCAATAGGGGTGGGGATAGCATGTGCTCTWCTAGGAACYGCAACCATAGCTTTCTTTGCAAAACGTTTGATTGGGAAAAGAGAAGACGACGACGAYGATGAAACACCGAGACCTGATGACTARCAACGATTGCAACGTTGAMTTATTGTAGGAAATCCTACTTGGGATTCCTGTGCTCATAKATAGAGGGGGAATGGGGAAGACTTGAGGGGAGGGGTGGGGGATAAACTAGGACTGATATAAAATCGTCCGCTAGAGTACAAACACTAAAACTGTGCAACATAAATACCACTAGAGTGGTTTTCATAAACCCGTGAAACAAAGTGTAATAGATTGTAATAGTCGCGTAGAAACAATAAAAAACAAGAGCCAAAGTGTAATAGCGATAAATACGCTAAAGTGTGTTTCACGGGTTAATGAAAATCACTCTAAATACTGCTAAATTATGCTAATTCTATTGTTTTTTATTGTTTAATTAACACTATTTTGTAGTAAATAGTGGAAAGTATTGA